ATCTCTCGCCAAACAGTCTGGTTTAGTTTCTGTTGTGAGTAACTAGGAATTGGAATTTGAAGCAGGCTTCAGTCTTCCTAATATTCAACTGGTGGAAGTTTCTGCTCCTGGTACAGAATGTCTGAAAAAGAGTCTGAGAACCGAACAATACAGGAATTGAGAGACATGCCCATGATTAGAGCTGGGTGTTATCAGTGCATGAAGTAGATAAGAAATAAGAGCCTAGCAAGCTGCTCAGTCCGAGGGCAGTCAAAAATGGTGCTGACCTTGCCAGTGATGCTCACATCCCAAAAAACCAAAAAAAGAAAATCCCTGGTTCATTAATAATGGACTGGGGAAGTAACTTGGGGTTCTTTACCTGGTATTACCCTCCTTGAATCCTACTTGCTGACCTTGTTCTGTACCTGCTGTCTATATTATAGACATCCTAGGTTATTGTAGTCTAGACTACCTGTGCTTGTGTTCCTGGAATTGGATTTGAGCCTACAATCTTCCAACTTCAATGTGTGTGTTATCACTGTGTCAAGGATAAGTGGTACTGTGTGTCAGGACAGGGACTGCATTCTTGCAGTCCATGTACAGTTTGACCCTTCACTGTGTGTGAAATCAGTGGTTGAAGAGTTGGTTAAATTGTGTCTGTCTGTCTATGGCTTTGTGGTTGTGTTTTTCTCTCTCACACGCACACACACACTTCTGTGTGTCCCCTGTCTGTTTCAGTGTAGTCTGATCCAAAACACTTGAGGTAAAAAGAGCCAGAATTTCTGCATTGAGTATTGAATCAATTAATAACATAAACAGGAGCAGGAATAGGCAAGATTTCCCCTCGAATCTTATTTTATTTCATAAGTTCATGTTGAACTGCCACATCAGTTCCGCTTTCTTGTTTTAGCCTAATACTCTTTGATTCCATCAGTGTCAAAAGATGCATCTAACTCAGCCTTAATAATGTTCATTGACTGAACGTTTGTGTTTTTTAAAAAAAAAGAAAACTAATTGACAACTTTTAGCTACAAAGCAGCAGTGATTTTATCATGTTGCTTCAAGATTTGTGTCCTAACCTTTGCAGGTTCTGTGTTGCCAACAGGAAAAGGAGCCAGGACTGTAAGCTCAATTAAACTTGTCACCTTCTATAACTAAACTGAGGTTAATGGGCTTTTGTGCTTTGTTCAGATTGCCTGAGAGAAAGTTTGCAATTATCGGCACTTTTTTTGGTTACAAATTCCAAAAGCACAAAAAGAATATTAATTAAAGGAAACATAAAACAAGAAAGGCTTTCACTGAGTCTGGAGCTTTGAAGTTTAGGTCTTTGTCTGTTCTTGTAACTGTATCGAGCTGATACAATTATTTGGTTAAAAAAGGAGTGCCTGTGGTTTGAAAAGGAAAACAGCAGAGAAATTAATCAAAATTGATGGGTATCTTGTGGAATCTTGCTGTAGAAAAGGAGGCCATGCAACTCACTTGTTAATGCTGGTTAGCTGGTCCCACTCCACTAGCCCTTACCTCACAGCTCGGCAAACATTTCCTTTTGGAGCTGACGTCTGATTCCCATATGAATACTGTTGAACTTGCCTCCACTACCCTGTCAGGCTGAGTTCTAGATTACAACAACTCTTTTTTTTTTTTAAACAATAGAAAGAGGCTCTTTTATTCTAACTTCGGTGCCAATGATTTAAAATCAGTGTTCTTTGGTTATTGACCCACATTTTCAAAAAACATGGGATATGGGGCATCACTGGCAAGGCCATCATTTTTTTTTTAAAAAGAAAGACAAGAATTATGGAAAGAGTTCCTGCACTTTGTTTTAAAGCAAGCTACAAGCACTTACTGTATATGCTATTTACACTGTTGTTCATTCAACCAGTGGGGAAAGTTAGCAACTGACACCAGTGTTTGTGTATAGGGTGAATTCATCTGGCAACAAGTATCTGATTGGTTTGTGCAGCGGTGACCAATTGTTGATGACAAAGACCTTCTGCCTGCCAACAATTATGTGATTGGCTCCCAGGTAGCTGAATAGCTTGTGCGTGTGAAGCTTCAGACCTCCGGAAGGGATAGAAATGTGCTTGCCTCTGCAGATTTAAAAAAAATCTGAAGAAAGCCAGTTTATTTTGCCCCACAAATTGCTTTAAGCTGATGCTTTTATTAAAACTTGTGAACCAGTTGGTCTGTGCCTAAAAGTACCTGGAGAAGAAGTCAAGAAGCAGCAAGTCCTGACAGGCCAAAAAGGTAATCTTAGCAAATCAGGAACTATTGAGCTGCCTTCCCAGTTTTTCCCTCCACCAATAACATCAATTTTTTTTTCTGTCTATGTGGGATGAGGTTTGTAAACATTTTAGAGTTTTAATTAATTAAGTTATTTGTCAAACTGTTTACTTATAACTAGAATCTCTTTATATTTAAATAGGAATTCTTGTTAAGAATTTCTTTACTTCAAAGCCTGATTTCATACTTCCTGTCAACCTAGGACTAAAAGGCAAGTAAAGTTGAGGGAATTTGCATACTTTAAAATCTTTAACATTTCTGACAATTCCGGGAAAAATGGGGCTTGATTTCTAGTGGGTGCTGCCCCACTGAAGCTGACAGAACAGCAGATTTCCTTGCCATAAAGACATGAATAAACCACATGGGCTTTTACAACAATTGATGATTGTTATCACTGAGATTAGTGTTTAGTATTTTGAAATTCCAGATTTATTAATTAAATTGAAACTTCACCAACCCTGAGTATTTTGTTTTTGAAAGAACTAGTGATCATGATTGAGATAAGCTTTGTATATTACAGAATTGTTAAAAGAATTCAAATTAAACCAGTGCAGTGGTAGGATTTGAACCCCTGACCCGTGAGCATTTGCCTGGGCTTCTGGATTATTCATCCAGTGCCATTACCACTACACCATTGTCTCATCTGTTCTGTTCAAGTTGATATTCTGATGAAGTGCAAGAGTCTGATACTGCAAGGTCCTGTCCAAAATGGCAATATCCCTTTTAGCTGCTGCTTAATGTGCTGTGAGTGTCTGGCACTCCATGTTTCAGCTTCAGCTTTCTGTGGTCTGTCATTCTCAGTGCCTGCTTTCAGTATGGTGTCTCCATTTTTGTTTCAGTTTCCAATGTCATCACTTACTGTTTATTTTTGAGAATCTGGTTCTGCTGATGCAGCTTTATTTGGCAAGTAGCTGAGCCACCCAGGCCCAGAGAATTCATCTCTCTCAAGGTCTGATCTTGTGTGTCTGGATAGCCCATCTTGTCAGTTGGACTAGCTGAAACTGACTTCAGTGCACATGGTTGGAAAGTCAGCCTGGGCCTTTGCTACTGATTGCCATCCTCCACATTCCCTGCTGAAATGTTGAGTAGATTGGACCTGTGTTCTCTGGCATTTAGAGGAATGAGATATTATCTCATTGAAACATCTAAAACTCTAAGAGCGCATGCCAAAAGGCTATTTTTCCTCTATTGCAATGAGTTTAGAACTAGGGGGGTCATGGCCTCAGACTGAGGGTTAGCCATTTTAGACTGAGATGAGGAGATATGGGTTGGAGGGTTGAACACCTTTGGAATTCTCTTCAGCCGAGGATTGTAGCAACTTGGTTCTTCAGTGTACTTGAAACAGAAATGATAGAATTCTGGGCAGTAGGAGATCTGAGAGATTTAGGGTTTGGGTGGGAAAGTAGAATATTATCCATTATTGAAATGTGGAGCAGGTTTGAGGTCCAAATGGCTTCCTGCTCCTATTTCGTATGTGTGTGAATTATCTGATTCTTCCGATGTGGTTGAATAACTTCCTGACTGTGGGTACAAAGACTGTCCAGTATCTTTGGATTGTATTTTTGTAAATTGGAGAAGGAAGAATAGAAAATCATGCCTTCACAACAGTAACAGCAGTAATAATGATTCTTGCCTGCAATCAGCAAATCAAACTCATTCTGTCCCTATCTTCTGCATCAGGCTGGCCCAAACTATACATGCAGGTCTGGCACCAGGACTCTTTTGGCCGGAACGACCTGTGTGGCTATGGTTTCTGCCACATCCCCAGCAGCCCAGGTACTCACGATATCCAGTGCGTCACCTGGCGGCCCCTGGGCACCTGGCAGGAACAGCTCTCCCAGATGTTTGTGGGCGGCGGGCCCCAGCTGAAACACAGTGACCTCATTTACACCGGGGCTGACCGCTATCGACTCCAAACCGTGGCCATGGGCAAGGTCCACCTCCAGCTCAGCATCATTCTCCGTAACTTTGACCAGTATGGTGTGGAGTACTGAATGGATTGTCAAGGGAGAGACTTTGTCATTGTTGGTGGATATTGACCAGTTCTCTTCAGTCTTCTTCCTGACTTCCTCCACTTCTTTCCCCGTGCCTTGCAGAAGTTTCTGTCACCTTGGATTGCACACCGAATTCCTGTTGCACATTTTTGTCAGGCTCCAGCTTGGTGTTTGCTCCCGCACTATATGGCAGCTCCATTTATCACAGTGATTGAGTGGCCTGCAATGATTCTTGGTAATCGTCTGTATATCTTTCCAATGTGGGCTTGATATTGATTATTATTTGGACCTGATGACTTACATAGTAACCTTGTGTTGATGTTTCTCCCACTTGGGTACATTTCGTGCTGCAGCACATCAAGTTTATATATTTAAAGGATGTCACTTTTAAAATCTACAGTACAGGTGAAGTCTAAATCCTGTGATTGTATGAAAACAGATGGCAATTTGTCAGCTATGTAGACTGGAATGTCAAGCTCAATGAGGAAACTGCATTTGATTGCTGATACTGGGAGGGATCATAGCTTGTGTGGTATGGTTACCCCTGGGTTAGAGGATTTGATGTGGGGATGGTGGAGAGGTGGGGGGGTGGTGCGGAGTAGCTAACAGTTCTTTTTGGGGTTACTGGGAATCATCTCTGTGGCTGAGGAACGTCCACCAAAGAAGTGGAATGGTTAAAAGGTTCTGGGTTTGAATCCTTCTATGGTCAAATTATTTAGGGTTTTGTTGTTCTGATGTCATTCAGAAACTGTCCCCAGTGAGCGTCAGAGTCATCCTCTTCAAGAACTGTTTCCCCCTGTGAGAGTCAGCCCCTTCAGGAACTGACTCTCTCTCTCTCTCTCCCTCCCTCTCTCTCTCTCTCTCCCCCTCTCTCTCTCTCTCTCTCTCTCTCTCTCTCTCTCTCTCTCTCTCTCTGGGAGATAGCAAGAAGCAGCAGATGCTGGAGTCAGAATCAATACAGTGTGAAACTGGAGGAACATAGGAGGTCAGGCAGCATCAGAAGAGCAGGAAAGTTGATGTTTCAGGTTTACACCCTTCATCAGGACTCAGAACTGCAGTGGGGAGTAAAAATGGGAACCAATGTAAAATGATTGTTAAGAACAGGCAATAATCAAACACCCAAATTGACCTCCATCTGAGCAGAAATGTATTATTCTGTATCGACTGCAAAAGTAATATGTTGAAAGAGTGATGTGCATCATATATAACTCAAAGTCAATAAATCAGTTGGTTCATTTATAAAACTTATTGAAAAATTAATTTCATAAATCTACTGTCTATTCTATTTGAACATGGCTCAGACTGATGATTTGGAAGCCTCACTCTGCTGGTACTAGAATTATACACGATAGGAGGTGTGACATAGTTTCTGCTTAGTGCTAGGTCTGGACAACATGAGAAAAGATCCTCTTTACATCTACTTTGTCAATCCCCTTTAGCATTTGGTATATCTCAATTATATCTCTCATTCTTCTAAACTCCAAAGAATATAGACTAAAACTGCTCAATCTCGCTTCACAAGGGTCCTTAGGAACAGGGAATAAATGCTAGTCAGTCTGCCATGCCCACATTCCACAAATAAATTTTTAAAAATGACAAACTCCTAATTTTTAGAATCAATCTGGTGAACCACCTCTTAACTCTGGAGACCAAAACTATATGCAGTACTGCAGGTGCATTTTAGTCTGTAGGAGTTTGAATGTTCATCAAACTTGTGCTGTACCTGTTCTGGGAGAACTTGACTCTGTGTGAAAGTGACTCAGCGGCCCACTTTACATCTCTCCCTTTTTTAAATTCTATTGGATTTGTTTAGCTATCACCTGTCATGTGCGTTCACCAATCCAGTTCTCGAGAGCCAAAATCTGGACTGATAATCCAGTGCCGTACTGAGGGAGTGCTGCACTGTTCGAGGTGCCATATTTTGAGTGAGACATGAAACCATGGCTCCTACTGCCCTCTCAAGCATGTAAAAGATCCTATCATGCTATTTCAAAGAGGAGGTGGGGGTTATCTCCAATGTCCTGGCAAATGGTTATTCCTCAATCAACATTCCAAAACCAAAATACCTCATTATCATACTGCTGTTTGAGGGAGCTTGTTGTGTGCAAATTGGCTGTGGTATTTCCTACATTACAATAGTGACTATACTTCAAAAGTACTTTATTAGCTGTAATGTTCTTTGGGACGAAAAGCACTATAGAAATGCAAGTACTGCTGGGGTTCTTGTAGTACAGTCATTGTGTCCCACCCTCTGGGCTCAGAGTCCCGGGTTCAAGTTTCACCTATGCCAGAGGTATTTACTAACATCTCTGAATAGGCTAATTAGTAATTAAGTAATTAAACCCGGGTTTAATTCCACCTTCCGGCGACTGTCTGTATGGAGTTTGCACATTCTCCCCGTGTTTGCGTGGGTTTCCTCCCACAGTCCAAAAATATGCAGGCTAGGTGGAATGGCCATGCTAAATTGCCCATAGCGTTCAGCGATGTGTAGATTAGGGGAATGGGTCTGGGTGGGATGCTTTGAAGGTTGTTGGGCCAAAGGGCCTGTTTCCACACTGTAGGGATTCTATGATTCTACGAAATACAAGTCCTTTGTTTTACCCCATGTGATTTTGATGCAGCAAGTCCAATGGCCCAGAAGGGGGCAGTCACACACCATGAACCAGTGTGCATTGTGACTGACTGACTGGATTCTAGCCCCTTCCAATAACATGCTGTTCCTAAATACAGCATATAGAAAATGACTTGCACTTACCTTGTCTGTGTTTGCATTCTGTGCTGATTTATGATGTACCACTTATACAATCTACAAGAGAAGGAAATCAATAAAGTATTTTTTTTTTGAAAGTTTAATTGTTGTTGGAATGTTGTCTTTCTGCTGTCTGCAGTATTCTTAATAGTTATTCCTATTTGTAGCCCACTTTGACCTATTACAGTTCTTGATCTCTATCCTGTAGTGCTTTTTGCTTTGGCCATCCCATAAAGACACTCTTGCCTCATGTTTGAATCATTTGGAAAGGTCTATCTATGTATCATTGAGTTGCATTTTGTCTCAGATTCTGGTTAATCCAGTCTCTATTTCAAATTCCAATGGGGCTCGACAAGGTATGCACTGAAAGCTTGTTCCCTTCAGGACTGAGGTGAGGAGAAATTCCTTCATTCAGAGGGTTGTGAATTTTTGGTCTCTCAGGGAATCAAGGGATAAGGGGAGAGGGTGGAAAGGTAGACCTAAGGCTGAGGATAAGCCATTACCTATTGAATCGTGAATTTTAGTGTCTCAAAGGATCCTGTTTGATGGGAATACAACCACCCCCATCTCCCTTCCAAGCCACGAACCATAATAATTTGGAAATATAATTGCTATTTTTTACTGTCTCTGGATCAAAATTCTGGAACTCCCTAACAGCATTCAGGTGTCAGTAAACTACACAAACTGGAAAGCGATTCATTGCCAACCTCTCCGATGTAATTCGGATGGGCAATAAATGCTGACCTAGCTCGCAATACCCACATCCCACATATGAATAATAAAAGAAAATGGGCAGGCAGGAATGTGAAATTGAAGACGAGATCAGCCTGATCATATTGAATGATGAAGCAGGCTTGGTAGTCGAATGATCTACTGCTCTTACGTTCCAGTGTTTGGTTCCCAGCTTTTCACAGCACAAACTGTAGGTGGTGCATGGGTTGCACACAGCAGCTGTGCATCTTGCAGCTCCTCTAAAGTCAGCAGTTATATTAGCTAAACATGTGGGAATGCAATGATCACACTGGGGAAAATCTTGAAATGGGATGGAGGTTCAGTGCCTGCAGAACTAAGTTTTGCACTGGAGCATTTATGGTTTGAGCTGCTGGTTTTCTGATTTCTGTTTTTGGAAAATGTTTACAATGATGCTGGCCATTTCTCTCTGCTTGTGCGTCCTACACCCACTCCTTTTGACAGGCTGATGGTCCTTCTTGTGTCCTGTGTTGAACTCCAGTTGCATGGTCTCTTCAAATTCATATATCTCCACTTAAAAAGGTGGACCACTTTCTCCAGGTTTTTCAAACCTACATTTAGTGGCATTCAACTATCAATACTGCCTTAAAACATCCTGCCTTACTTTCTACATTTGAAAGGCTCCTTAAAACCCACCTTTCTCTCTAAGCTCATGATCACTCATCCTAACATCTCCTCCTTTAGCTTGCTGTCAGTTTAGACCTCTCGTGGTGCAGTGGTGGTGTCCCGAACCCTGGGCCAGAAGTGTCAGGATTGAATCTTACTCCAGGACTTGGTGTCCTCAGAAAGTAAGTTCCAGATGGTGCCAACAGGTCAGTGAACAAACTGCAGATTGTTCTGATGCTCCATCAGCAGGTGATAAGAGTAGAGAGTTTCCTGGTCAGTCATACCGTGTTGTAGCTGCTACGTAACAACCATCCCATGTTAAAAGAGTCTACCTGCAAATGCTTACTGCAAGCTGCACTCCGTGGCACGCTTCTTCCTCATGTGAAGGGATGCCAGAAGATATCTGACTGATTATGTTTCTGTGCAATGCCAAGGGGAATTTGTCAATATTAAGAGCATGTAAATGCAAGTTGCTAATGGCTGATTCCAGTCTTCTGTCTTTTGCTCATTTGATGCCCTTGGTGCTGCCTTGCATGTTTGGCCTTACTACATGACTTGATTTTCTTCAGCTATCTATAAAATATTAAAAATATTGTATATTACACACAGTCCTTCCTGTATAGTCTCAAACTTCCTCTCACCATCACTACCTCTCAAGTAACACTCTCAGTATATCTGTTAACACCTCCATTTGTTATATGGTGACTCACAGGATACAGGATGTTGTTACCTGTGAATAATGCCTGAGTTGATCTGTTGGTAATATGGGGGAAAAAGTAGTTTTAAAGGAGTCAGCCTAGGTTGCAGGCTGGGTAAGGTTTGGTAATTGGTAATTCTATGGACAATGGCCAATGTGTGTGTGTCTCTCACACACACACACACACACACACACAAGTGCGACACGCTAGATACAGTCAATGTCAGATCACTTAGTCCTGTCAAACACACGGTCAGTGCTAGGATTCCCGGTCCTGTTGCACACATGAAATCTAAAATTGAAGCTGAATGTGCTTATCTTCAACGTGAACAAAATACTGTCCACAGACAACAACTGCAAGAGTTCCACTTGTCCATTTACTGAATTCTCCACATAGTAGGGGCACTATGACCTACACTGGCATTTTATAGGATTGGGAGGACTGATATGTGGCAGATTGGTCCATGTCCTTGGGATCAAGGATGTCTTGCTTCCACTCTGGTTCATTTGATTCTGGGATGGCTGATAAATCCAACATGAGATCTGCAGACTCTGCAACATGTGGTAGTGCTTAGGTGAGTTATTTGGAGGTTTTACGCACTTGCTCCAAAGCCAAGACTTCACCTCTGCCTGTTCCTGATGAAGTCTTTGTGATCATTTCAGTTGAAACTTTTCCATTTCATTCAGTCACAAGCCAGGATCTCTCGTGAGTCAGAGGAGATATTCAACCTCCTCAGGGAAGCTTTTAGCACATCCCTAAACTGTTTCCACTGTCCTCTAGGGAATCTTCTGCCTGGAACAAATTTCAATTAGATTTGTTGCTTTGGGAGCAATGGTGTCAGACCTAAGAATACCTAACAATGCAAGTTTTTACTGACTAGTGCCTTAATACTGAGAACGTTGTATTTGGAGGTCGTGTGGAAGTGCTACTGGTGGTCTCTGCCAAGGCCAAGTTCTCTAAAACATGTAGGAGGGTGAGTACCACTGCTACCCAGTAAACCAAGTCCTTAGATTGCAGTGTGAGATCCTCGTTCTTAAATACCCATCTCCTCAGTCAGCTGATATCTAAGGTACAACATTTAAGCGACGATTTGTTTTGACTTATTCGCGGGATGTGGATGAGTCTGGCTAGGCCAGCATTTATTGTCCATTCCAGATGACAATTAAGTGTCAACCACATTACTGTGTGGAGTCACGTGTAGGCCAGACCAGGTAAGAACAGCAAATTTCCTTTGTTATGGATGGGATTTTAACAAAATCAATGATTGTTTCATGATTACCATTAGGCAATTTATTCCACATTTATTAAAATGCAAATTTCATCATCTGCCATTGTGGAAATTGAAACCATGACCCCAGAACATTAGACAGATTAGCTGCATTTGATTACTAACCCAATATCATTACAGCGCTATCATTTGTCATTTAATTTTTCCATTTGTCACGAGGAATCTCACAAGATATACAAACAAATGGTCTACATTTCCCAAGATCTCCTTATTAAGGTATTCAGCTGTGGGATCTGGTTGGAAGAGGACCTTAGTTCTCTGGGCGTTTAGTAAAAGGCACATTTTCCCATATGCTTCAGAGAAGAATTTGATAATGACCTGCAGCCCAGTTTCTGATTGAGTGCATAGAAAAAGTAATCTGTGTACTGCAGCTCAATGACTTAAGTTGAAATTGTTTTAGTTTTTGGATTGTAGGTGGTGTAGGTTGATAATTTTCTAGCTGTTTTCTGACCTGTTGTGACTTACTTTGTCTCCCATCAAAAGCTAGAGGAACAGAACAAACCTGGAATTCTAATGCTCATGTACAATATTGGAGCCACAGGTGAGGTGCCGGAAGTCTGGAAGGTGGCTAATGTGGTGCCATGATTTAAGAAAGGTGGTAAGGAAAAGCCAGGGAACTATAGACTGGTGACTCTGATGTCAGTGGTAGGTATGTTGTTGGAGAGGCTTCTTAGGATTTACTTGCACTTGGAAAGGCACAGACTGATTAGGAACAATCAACATGGATTTGTGCATGGGAAATTGTGCCTCACTAACTTGATTGAGTTTTCTGAAGAGATGACAAAGAAGACTGATAAATGTAGAGCAGTAAACATTGTCTATATGGACTTCAGCAAGGCATTCAACAAGGTCCCGCATGGTAGATTGGGTAGCAAGGTTAGATCGCATGGGATCTGGTCGCAATATTTGCTTGAAGGTAGGAGACACAGGGTGGTGATAGAGGGTTGTTTTTCTGAATAGAGGCCTGTGACCAGCGGTGTGCCGCAAGGATCAGTGCTGAGTCCACTGCTTCTCAAATCAAGTGGATAGGAATGTGAGCAGAAGCTAATTCTCATCAAACACAATCTGTCTCTTTGTGCATAAATGATTTGGATGTGAACTTAGGAGATTTGGTTAGTAAGTTTGCAGATAACACCAAAATTGGTGGTGTGGTGGACGGTGAAGAAGGTTATCTCAGAGTACAACGGGACCTTGATCAGATAGGCCAAATGGCTGAAGAGTGGCAGATGTGGTTTAATTTATATAAATGTGAGGTGTTGCATTTTGGTAAGGCAAACCAGGGCACAACTTGCACAGTTAGTGATAAGGCCCTGGGGAACGTTGCCAAATAAAGAGACCTAGGGGTGCAGGTGCACAGTTCCTTGAAAGTGGAGTTGCAGGTAGACAGGGTGGTGAAGAAGGCTTTTAGCACGTTTGCCTTTATTGGTCAGTGCATTGTGCATAGGAGTTGGGAAGTCATATTGTGACTGTACAGGACATTGGTGAGGCCACTTTTGGAATAATGCATTCATTTCTGGTCTCCCTGCTATAGGAAAAATGTTGTTAAACTTTAAAGGGTTCAGAAAAGATATACAAAAATGTTGCCAGGATTGGAGGGTTTGAGCTATTGGGAAAGGCTGATTGGCTGGACCTTTTTTCCTTGGAGCGTCAGAGGCTGAGGGATGACCTTATAGAGGTTTATAAAATCATGAAGGGAGTGGATAGGGTGAATATCCAAGGTTTTTTTCTCAGAGTAGGAGATTCCAAAACTAGAAGGCATAAGTTTAAAGTGAGAGGGGAAACGTTTTAAAGTGACCTGAGGGGCAGTTTTTTCATGCAGAGAGTGGTATGTGTATGGAAAGAGCTGCCAGAGGAGGTGTGGAGGCGGGTACAATCAAATTTAAAAGGCATCTGGATGGGTACATGAATAGCTAGGGTTTAGAGGGATATAGGCCAAATACTGGCAAATGAGACGAGATCAGTTTATAAAATCTGGCTGGCGTGGACATGTTGGACCAAAGGGTCCATTTCTATGCTGTATAATACTATAGCGGTAAATGACCATGTTAAATGTGACAATGTAAAAGGAGCTTTAATTTGTATCTAACCATGTGCTCTCTCTCTCCTGGGAGAGTTTGATGGGACAGTGTAGAGGGGCTTTACTGTGTAGCTGAATCCGTGCTGTACTTGTACTGGAAGTGTTTGATGACGGTATTATAGTGGGAGCTTTACTATTTATCTAACCCTGTGCTGTATCTGTCCTGGGAATGTTTGATATTAACACTAGGGTCCAAAACTGAAAAGCTATCCACTCTGACATTCCATTATTTTGCAGAGTAAATTTGATTTAAAGATATATTGCCAGTGTTGGTTCAATTCATAAGTGAAACCAGTAGCAGACACACAGGAGCTGAGTTGAAAGTGGCAGAAATAGTGTGTAATAAACTAATGTGTGATGTTGGAAAGCCCCTCATTACGTGAGGAGTCAGGAGTTTCAAAACAATTTGGGAGCATTAACTGGGAGGCACCTCCTGCTTCTGAATTTGTTCTGTGTCTGTTCAACAAACACAAGTGAATCTCTGAGTTGGATTAGCAGCTTGCTGGCAGCCAGGGCTCCTCATTACACTAACCTTCCTGGAACATTCAGGGGCATGGAGGAGAAATGGGGGAAAAAAAGGAGCAGGATTATGTGAGTCTTGACATCTTCTGATTCATGCAACATACAGTGGCATATTTTACATCATGCTGGTGAGGGTGGAAGTAGGTATGGAGGCATTTGTTACCCACAGGAAGATCCCATAAACTGCATTGAGCTGCGAATGACTGGCTACTCTATTCCAATGTTGTTCAAGGGATGAATGTTAGCCTGTTTTGGGGCAGTGATTTTCACTTCTGTTGAGTGTGGATGACTGAGGTTTCACATTTATACAAACCCTACCCCATGTTCTGTGAAGACAGTGTGGGTGAGGTTGAACTCATTCACAATTGTTAGGACAGCTTCAGCATGGGGAGTAAAGCTTCCTCTACACTGTCTCCATTCAACACTCCCAGGTCAGGGACAATTTGGGGTTAGATACAGAATAAAGCTTCCGTTACTCATATCAACTGAAAGTAAACTGAAAGTAAAGCTTCATCTATACTGTCCCCATCAAACACCTTGTGGTCAGGGACAGCATGGGGTTAGATACAAATGAAAGCTCTCTCTACAATGTCCCCCAAATGCTCCCAGGCCAGATAAAGCATGGGAATACCACAGCAAGTAGAAATGGCCTTGATTTTAATGTCTCACATGAAAGACAAGTCCTAATGGGGTGCACTCTCCATACTAAATAGGGGCCTGGGAGTGTGGAGTGCTTAGAAGGTGAGATACTACAGTCAAGGATTTGTCTGCCCTCTCAGGTGCTGTAAAAGATCCCATAGTATGTTCTGAGGAAACAGCATGGACATTCTCCCTGTTCTTTTTTGCCTCAGCCAATAGCTCAAAACAGATCATCTGCTCACCATTATTGCTGTTCGTGGGAGCTTGCTGTGCACAAATTGACAGCCGCGTTTCCTGTATCAGAGCGAGGTGGCTGCACTTCAAAAATAAGCACTTAATCGTTTGTCAATCCCCTGAGCTTGTGGAAGGCGCAGCAGAACTGCTGAATGTTCACAGATTGTCAACATGTAGCAATGGGCAGTCGTTAAAGTTGCTAAAAAGTAAAGGAAATGCAGTCATTTGTGTAGAGAGAGACTGCTGGGCTCAGCAGTGCTGAGAGCTGCTTCCTGCCCTCCCTTTTCTGATCGGAGGGGCCTGTACTGACTCCAGCTTAATCTCTGGTCCATTGCAGATTTGGGAGCTGCCTGGATACCCTGGAAGGTTGCAGAGTGTGGACTGGAGACGCATTACCGTGACAGGGCATATTATAGTCTGAATAGGTCAGACCAGCATTTGAGGAGGGAGAGAGGAGTTCAGATCTTCTATCAGAAAGCAGGTCAGTCTTTTAGACTAGCTGTCCGGAAAATTGTGTTCTTTTTTAAACAACATTATTGCATCTGAACCGTTGAAGGAAATAATTTACAAATATTCTGAAATAGAGACGCTCTAAGTCAACCACAGCTGTTACACCACACCTATTTCCTGGGAGGAGTTTCAGACCCGTAAGGCTTTATAAAGTCTCAACTTCTTGCCCACAACAGTTTCGAGTCCCCGGCACCAGTCTGTGACCTCTCGGGAGAGTGTATGTGTGTGTTTTTTTAAACTAACAAAACGCCGAGGCAACATTCAAAGAAGATAGAAAAGAAAGTATCACTTTTTTAATGTCTCAAGTGCGTGTCAAAGTCAATCAAAACAGCAGCAAAGTTACATTTTTCTGAATTGTTTGGCATGAGATCGGAAGGTATCGATTATAATCCATTTCTATTTCAGCGAGCTTGAAGCCTGTTCCTCATTTCATCCTGGAAGAACTAAGGAAGATCTGATTTGCTACTCCAGTTTGGACTTCGGAGCGGCATTATTATCTCTTTCCTCTTGAACTGCCGTTATAAATGTAACTGATCAATTATGAGCAAACCACAAGATTGTTTTTAGAAAATATTTATTTTGTAAAAGAAAATTAGAGGAAGTTTGCCAATTTCTGCTGCCAAGTTCAACGGTTGAGCTCCAGAGTAAAAAGGATGCAGCTCCCGGTTCTTCTCAACCTGCTTCTCCTGTGGGACAGTCTGCCTGTCGCTCTCTCCCTCTCCACTTGCAAGACCATCGACATTGAACAGATCCGGAAAAAGAGGATCGAAGCGATCCGGGGCCAGATCCTCAGCAAACTCAAGATGTCCAGTCCCCCGAAGGCCGAGCAGGTGACAGTGACCAACGAGGTCATGGTTCTGTACAACAGCACCAAGGAGCTCCTGGGTGACCTGGTCAAGGAACAGCAGCAGGCAACCACTGCGACTCAGTCAGACTATTATGCCAAAGAGGTGCACCGCTTTGACACTTTAGAGGACAACTCAGGAAACCGAGGAGGTCAGGGTAAGTGGCCCTCAAACGCAGCCATTCTAGCACCCTGAGAATCCACATTAGCGTCTGCTCCTTGTCAAATACCAGACTGAGTTCAGAGAGAAAAACAATGCTGGGAATAGTCAGCAGATCTGGCATTAGCAGACCTTGAACTCAATTCTCTCCAGCTACCTGCTGAGTATTTCCAGTAGTTTCTGACCTCCGTCTCCACCCCCACGTCCATTTCAACATCTGCAGCGAGTTTCGCTTTGGTATTAGGAGACTACAGTGTTGCATTTTAAAGGCTACAGATACCAGGGGAAGGGTCTGGAGCGTGTGCCACAGGTAGCAGTGCTCACCCCACACGCTCGGAGCCAACTCCTTCTATTTCCAGACGCCAGCCCCAGGCGTGAATGACGTACGTTTTATTCGACTACGGGAGGCATCGCAGCCCGATCCCTCCATCCTGTATTCTCCAATCCAGACGCAGCGAGCGGTGGGAAAGGGACAGTGGGTGTCACACTATCTCCCCGCCCCCGGCCACCCCCGTCCTTTGCCTCTCACTTCATCTTTTGCATTTGCCCCCAACCCCCATCCCACTCCATGACACTGACTCTGGCAACTCCGCCCCCACTCAACCCCCCCAGCTGAAATCAGCTACTCTTCCCATCCATGGACGCCCGGGCTTCCCTTACAGAGGTTCACTCTGGCTTCAAATCTCAGAAAAGGTACATTTAATCTTTACAAAGATCATACTCAAATGGAAAGCTGTCCACGGCTGATAAAGGCATTGTCCTTGAATGACACAGCCTCCCTAACCCCACCACTGCTACATTACTGATTGGGACTCCAGGTTTACAGCTTCAGAAACAGAGGGGGATGTTGACATGTTCTCCCTTAGAATAATGCAAATCCCTTTCTTAAAAAAAAGTTATGGGATCTGGGTGTTGCTGGTAAAACCAGGATTTGTTGCCCATCCCTAACTGCCCTCGAACAGAATGGCTTGATTAGTCATTTCAGTGGACTGTTCAGAGTCAAAACAATGGTCTGGAGTCACATGTAGGCCAGACCAGGTTAAGGACAGCAAATTTCCTTCCCTCAGGGACATTAGTGAATCAGATGAGTCTTTACCACAAGCAACAATGGTTATAAAGTTACCACTGGGGTAGCTTTATATTCCAGAATTTATGAACTGAATTTAAATGTCAGAAATTTCTTCACTCAGAGAGTGGTGAGCCTGTGGAATTCACTGCCACAGAAGCAGTTGAAGCAAAATATTGAATGTTTTCAAGAAGGAAGTTTTTAGGGCTAAAGGGAATGGAGAGGAAGCAGAAGAAGGGGACTGAGTTGGATGATGAACCGTGATCATATTGAATGGCAGAGCAGACTCAAAGGCGGAATAGCCTTTTCTTGCTCCTGTTCTTTTTTTTTAATGCCTGTCACCAGCTACCTTGGTGGGATTTGAACCAGTGTTTCCTCCAGAGAACTGGCTGGGGGGAGATGTGGACTTTAGATTATTAGTCCAGTGACATTATCACTGTTACACCATTCCCCCATTAATTTGCAATCAAACTGAATCTTATTGGAATCAGCAGTGTTGCTCAAAACCTGTAGGGATTGATACCTGTTTGAGCCCAGGGCTTGAAACCATTTGAAAATATCCAACCACCACTAGCAGAAAGGAGAACTAATTTGACAGGTTGGTTATTTTTCTGGATCTGTGGTACTGGCAGTGAGCCCTAGGCATTCATATTATCAGTAATTTCCGAGACATGCACCTGCAGTTTCTGCTGTGAGTGTTCAGTTGCCAGTTCCAACTTCCAATATCACTCCACTGGGAATTCTCAAACAACTGAAGTAATTGCCCAGAATTTTGGTGCCAGATGTCAAGTGTCAGCTGTGACTCAGCACTGACCCTCTGAGCCAAGGAGTATAGAGTCATTGAGTTTTACAGCAGAGAAAGAACCCTATGGCCCATCATGTCTGTATACCACCTATCCACACTAGTCCTGAAAGTTTGTGGGATTATGTTCCACTTGAGCACAAAAATCAAGATGATGTCAGGGATGTCATCTTTTGGTTGAGGTGTTAAATGGAATCCCAGTCTACCCTTTGGCAGATTGTAAAAGACTCCAGGGATCATTTTGAATAAGAGCAGAGGGGAGGTTCTTCCCTGTAGCACTGAACAACATTTATTCCTCAATCAATGCTGCTCACTTAAAAAAAAACCTGGCCATTATTACATTACAGTTTGTGGAAGTTTGTTGCGTGCAAATTAGACACTGAATTTCCTGCGTTAAAACACTGACAAGACTTCATAAGTCCTTTATTGGCTGTAAAGTGCTTTGGAACATCCTGTGGTTCTGAAAGGTGCTGTATCAAAGCAAGCCTCTACTTCCTTTTGAATATGAAATGTTAGGGAAAATTGAGCTGGCCTTTTACTAACTGCAGCAAACTAGCATTTATATAACAGCCTTATGATAGTATATGCCCTCTGCACCCCCCCCCCCCCCCCTCCCACACACACACACACACACACACACACACACACACACATATGATGAAACTCCTCCTTACTGTTCAGGGAGGAACACAACTCTCCTGCACTAAATTGAGCATTTGAAATAGCTCCTAGGCATGTTGTAGATCAAACCTCCTTTTAGACTGAGACATTTCCACATCCCCAGTGATTGGTGACAGAAATGAAACTTCTTAAAAATTATAGCAGAGAAATGAGCCGTTCTGCCCATCTGGTTCATGCCAATGTTTTTGCTCCTTAGCAGCTTCCCCCACGCCCCTCTTCATCTGATCCCATCAGCTTATGCTATTCATTTTTCCTGTGTGCATTGCTCTAGCTTCCTGTTCAATGCACCAACAGTCTTCACTACTCCATTTGGTAGTGCAATCCACTCTCCCAGAACTTGGATTGGCTGGGCCTTTCACTGTGTTTTATTGGTTAGTAGGGGGTGGAACAGGACACAGAAGCACATTAGGGGGAGCTAGTTGTTTGGAAACAAAAAGGACTGCACCTAGTCACATCTGTGAAATGCTGATGGTGAGAAATTCTGGCTCTGTTTGGCATGAATACAATCATTGGTTGGACGATGTTGTATCTTTTCCCATTACCCTTGGCACTCTGGGCTGAGTGGTTAGATAAAGGTGGCAGAACCATTTTGGACTTGACCCATAATTTGGAAATTCAGGGAGACTTTCAGGGAGACTGTTCTCAATAAAACAACAACGTGTATTTATTGTGGTTATTTTGTGCCTGACACTATTAATGACTCTGGATATATTAGGGAAAATGTCTAAAAGTTTGAGGTAGGTTTTAGGGAGTGTCTTAAATGAGTAGAGATGGACTGGTTTAATGAGTAAAGTTCAGAGTTTGGGACCACTGATAGGCAAGGGCTATGGGTGAGAGCGAGTTTGAAGTTGGAGGAATTCAAGGTTATAAGTTTGGAAGAGGTTAGAGAGAGAGAGACAGAGATGAAGCTGTGGAGGGATTTGAACACAGGCACACAAATTTAAAAGTGTAAACTGCCAATCAGCTGTTTTTTCTGTGGAATTTGGAATAGCAGCAGCCTTGGATGAGGATGTTTTGTTGTGTACAAACATGCATTACATCGAACAGTCTGGGTCAATCAACGATGATCTTATAAAATGTATTTGTGTACATAAGGTATGACATTCCAAACACTCAGTAACTGCTCCACGTGAACTGTAACTGGATCCTGCAGCTGGTGAGGGTATGCGGGCATGACTGGCATTTAGAAATCTCTGTTTGTACGTGTGTCTGTTAGTGTTTATCCATGCTTCTCTGAGTTTTCTGGGATTTGGTGTTTGCATGCAAGTGCAATATCCATTCTAAGTGTTTGTATGATCAGTGTTTATGTTTGTGTGTACTATCATGTTTATATGTACATGCAATAGTGGTTGTATGTTTGAATTTTTAAATTAGTTTTTGTAGGGATTGGCATTAATTTGATATGGGGCCATGGGAAGAGAGTACTGTTAGTCTGACCTGTGCTATACTCCCTCTGTGAGCGTATGATGACTCATTGTAGAGGGAGCTTTATTCTGTATGGAACCCCATGCTGTATGTCCCTGGGATGTTTGACAGAGACAGTGTAGAAAAAGCTCTACTTTGTAGCTGGACCTGTGCTTTAGCTGCCCTGAGAGTGTTTGAAGCAGACAGTGTAGAGGAACCTTTACTCTGTATCTAACCCTGTGCTGTACCTCTCCTGGGATTGTTTGATGGGGAAAGCTTAGAGGGAGCTTTATTTTCTGTTTTTAAAAAAAAACAGAGGATGCTTTAATTTAGTAAGTTTCCACTTCCTTGTACAAGTTTCCATTAACTGTTAATTTGTATTTTTTCACAGAGGCTTTTAAAAAGAAATAGAGAGAGCCTTACTTTCACTTCAAAATAATAGCAGTTTACTCTGTATCTAACCCTGAGTGATTAATGGGATTCTCCATTACACTGCATCTGACAGAGTATCTCTTTGTCTCACCTCTGGAAGCAAATCCTCCCTTCACTCAGCATCTGTTACTTAAACTTTTGAAGCTACCATGTTTCTCTCCTACAGTCTTGGAAGCGCAGACAATGGCAGTTCTCCTTTCAAAGATGTCAGACATTAATTCTCTCCTCACAGCCCTCATAGCATATCTTTTTTTCCCTTGTGATAGTTGGATAAGAACTTTATCTCCATTAAAAGCCCAAATCTGCCTGCTCCACCTAACCCCCATTCCATTTACCCACCCTCAGTCATATCCAGTGCCAATGACACCGGCACAAAGCCTGGGCTGAGGTTAATCCTGTCATGAGAGTTTTGATGAGAGTTTACATTTTTAGATGCACCAATAGTCCTTTCTCTAATGGAATCAAATCTTCACTGAAGCATAATCAGCCCAAATTTGACACTGACACTTGAAAGAAGATATGACATCAGTGATCAAAATCTTGAAAGAAATACCTCTGCATTTAAGTAGCGTCTTTCACAATTACAGTGTTTTGCAAAATGCTGCACACACAG